ATACTTTGTACTAGAAAAAAAATCTGATTTTCCTACTCATCTTTCAACGAATTTTTACCAGAAGACAAGGCAAGTAAAGTGTTCATATGGAGGAAGCAAAACAAAGCCAAAAAATTATGTTAAAGATAAAGAACAGAACCTACAGCTTTTATTTTTAAAATTAAACCCAAAATGTATCAATTGCAAAATGGAAAATAAGTAAATGAATAATTGACCTGGCTTATCAAAATACATACTTCTCCTTTTACAAAAAAAAAAAAAAAAAAAAGAGAGAGAGACAGAGAAAGAGAGAGAGAGAGAGAGAGAGAGAGAAATGTCCTTAAAAGTCTTAATGAGTTCTGTATGTGTTCAGATAATATCAATGCAACAAAGAAACAGAAAAGTAGAAAAGGGAGGGTTGTAGTGTGCAATAGAGCAAAGAGAACAAGCAGAGAATGAATCAGGAATTATTTGACCTCTGGACCTTCCCTGGGTTGACACCTGATGCCAAGTGGATCAGGCCAGGCCTGGAAGGGGCCCACCTTGCAACCGGACTGGCCTTTCCCGCCTTACTCTGAGGCGACCGACCAGGACCTCTGCGCCGCCAGGCCTCTCAGATCCAGGCGTTTATTCCCTACTCCAGATAATAGCATCTGATTCCTTACTTGCCCTGGCCTCGACTTCCCTTGCCATTGATTTGGGGATCTTGGTTCTGTCCTAGAAAGGGTCAGAGGCCCTGGAGAAAGGTTCTTCCCACGGTCCTTTTCTTCTCAACTAACTCCAGCCAGGCACTCGGGCGCCCCCAAATGTCCGGTTCTTGGTTCTGCAGCGCCACATTTGTGACTTTCCAAAGCACAGGGGGTGAAGGGCTGGGACGCACAGATGCGAATTCAGGGTTGCCGTGAGGCCTCGATAGCGTGCAAGTTCCCGAGTTCTCGTTTCCTCCAGGGAAGCCGACTTGTCCAGAATGGTCTTTTTGAGCGGATAAGAATTCGCACCCGATGTGCTGAAGCCCAGTCTTCTGAGCCTGCGTGGCTAGTTTTGTGATCTGCCAGCCGCAATGTCAGGCTCCGAGGATCTTCGCGTCTGCCCTGGGCCTTCCTGGGATAGGAGGAAGGAAGCTCGGCTCCCGGATGTTAATCTGAGTCTCTTTGGATCAGTGTGGGCAGTTTTAGAAAGACTACATTTTCCCGAAACAGGCAAGGTTCATTAATGCCCGTGGTTTTTTTTTTTTCTCTTTTTCCTCATGCAAGAAGGGGAGCAGGGAAACCAAGTAGGAGGCGAAGCATTCTTTGTCTTTTGTGGAGAGATGGCCGTAATAGTAGTTGGATATACTTTAAAGATTTATAAGAAAACGCAGCTCTAAGCAGTGGCCGGTTAGCTCAGTTGGTTAGAGCGTGGTGCTAATAACGCCAAGGTCGCGGGTTCGATCCCCGTACGGGCCAATTTTTCTTTCTGTCGACCAAGTCTCTAATGGACGCTGCTACCTCACATCCACCTACAGAACTTAACAGCGCTTACGCTGAGGCAAAACACGGTTTATTTGTTCACCCAGTAGTTTAACTCGCCGGAGTGATTTTACTTACAACTTTTTTTTTCCCCCTTCCCATTTCTTTCTTTCTTTTTTTAAGGAAATAACGCATGAGAATTAGATGTAGTTTTTAAAGGAAATTGCATAGGGTAGGACGGGTGTATTTAGATTAAGTGAAAATAAAATTATTTTGCAAAATATTTAATAGAATACGTCCCTCCCCCCCGCATCTTTTAAACTTTCAAAAGAAAAGCTCTGCTCTTCATCGTGGCCGGTTAGCTCAGTCGGTTAGAGCGTGGTGCTAATAACGCCAAGGTCGCGGGTTCGATCCCCGTACGGGCCAGCTTTTTTTTTCATTTTTCCCCTCTGCCCACCATGTCTCTCGTGGACGCTGTTACTTCATGTCCACCTACAGAACTTAAAGCGCTAGCGCTGAAACAAAATACAGCTTATCTGTTCACCCAGTAGTTTAACAACCTGGAGCAATTTTACTTAGAAGTTTTTTCCTCCACCCCTCCCCCTTTTTTAAAAGAAATAACATATGAAAATTTGATGCAATTTTTAAAGAAAATTGGATGAGGAAAGACAGGTGTATTTAGATTAGGTGACAATACAATTTTTTTTTTTTTTTTGGGAAAAAAAAAGAGATAATACTTCAAAAGAAAAGAGGTGATCATTATTGTGGCTGGTTGGCTCAGTTGCTTAGAGTATGGTGCTGATAACACCAAGATTGTGGGTTTGATACCCATACAGGACATAGTAGGGGCTTTCTTTTCTTGAAGTATGAGGTTGTCTCGCCTCCTCCAAATGAGCTCCAGACTGGCAACCAGCAATGGTTATGCAGTAAAATCTGAATCAGTGGTTGGCTTCTGGGTTATATTTGACCGTTGTCCTGGGTGCTGCCACTTAACAAGCCAGTTCCAAATCTTCAGGTTTTTTTTGAACATGTATCATGTGGTAGTTAAGTTTGTGTGTCAATTTGGCCCAGCTCAGTTGAGTGGCTGGGTAGCTGGATGTAGTTATGCCGCATGGTAGGGTTGGTAATTAACTCCATGGTGGAATCTATTGGAGCAGCTGAGTAGCTGCTTTAGTGATGTGGTCTGCTTCCACTATATAAGAAACAACTTTGAGGCGGTCTCCAGCCAATGGCACTCTTGAACTCTGCATGTAGTCGAGTCATTAACTGTTCAGCAGCCTACCATGTTGCCCTGCCAATATTGGGACTTTTTTTTTTTTTTTATTAGGATTTGGGTGAAGATTTACAGAGTAAATTCACTTTTCATACAGCAGTTCACATATACTTTGTCTCATGTCATTGACCAAAATTTACAATGCAACAGCTCCCCTCCCACTTCCTCCCCATAGTCACTTCCTCCCAGTGTCCATCCCTTCATACTCTTCTGCACCCTGAGCTATCTCCCTGTGCATAAGCAGCCCTTCCTTCTCCCATGATTGTTCTCTCCAGGGCGTGTGTCTACTTGAGGTAAATGTTTAACTCACATGCCTGTACTTTGTTTGGCTGGAAACCACAGTTGTGGGTTCAATTCCAGACCTGAAGGGCAGCTAGGGGCCATAGTCTCAGTGGTTACACCAGGCTCTATTGGACCAGCAAACCTGGTCCCCACCTTCTTCTTTTTTTTTTTTTGCCTCCAAATGATTTTGAGTTTTGTTCCACATTGTTCTCCCTCTCTATGCAGGATCTCCTACATCCCTTCCAAGTGGATGGCAGTGGTAGCTGGGCACCATCTAGTTCTTCTGGTCTCATAGTTGTATAGGTTGCAGATCGGATGGTGTACCAGTCACTAGGACTGATTGTTTCCATTAATTTTGGTTTTCTTCTTTCTTCTTGACGAGGAGAGACCCGTTGTTGCATCTAGATGGCAGCTTCCTAGCTTTTAAGGTCCCAGTCGCTACTCGCCAAAGTAGTAGGTGGAACAATGTTTTGTATAGTATGTTATGCCAATTGAGCTTGATGTCCCCTGCGACCATGGTCCCAAGCCTGCAGGATCAACTACTCGGTCCCTCTGGGTAGCTGGCTGTGACCAAGCAATGACCATAACCTTGCCCCTTGTCAGCTCTACTATATACCTGGGAATTCTGATCATTCACATGAACTTATAGGCCCATTGTCTGCCAACCCTATATATGATCTTGGATACACTCTTCATTTAGACATACCTAATTGTTTAGCTTGTTCACCTATCTATCCGTCCATATACCCATGTTTGCTTTCACTGACAACTCAGTACTGTATCAATATTGCGACTTTTAATGGACTTGAATCAATGGCCTGCCCTGTGGTTTCATAATATTGGGACAGTGCCTTCTCACTTGTCGACATCAGGTTTTTTTGACCTCAGCAACCAGCAGCTGCCTAAGTGAAGAGATGCCTCCAGCTTCAGTGGGCTGGGAGCAAGAGGCAGAGCTGAAGTCCAAGGTCGAGGGATTTTCACCCAGCCCTTAAAGCTTGGCACTTTGAACTCGGACTTCTAGCCTCCCAAACTGTAAGAGAATAAACTCCTGTTTGTTCAAGCCATCCCAGTTGTGGTATATTCCTGTCAGAGAGGCACTAGATAACCAAAACATACCGTAAGAGCGTTCAGTCTCAGATTTGAATGACAAAAGCAGGTTGCGCTGTGGGAACTAAGAGCCTCACCCTCCCTGTCTTATCCTTTTCTTTTTTTTCCCCCTGGAGTGTGGCCACTGAGTCTCCATGTGTCTGGCACGCATCTCCTCTTTATCTGTCTTTGTCCTCATCCCTTGCACTGTCCCTCAGTTTCCCAACATATTTTTTACTCCTTTTCCTGTTTCAAAGCATGAATATGGATATGTAAGAATATTACCTGATAGACGGTGCTGCAGTAGGTACCATCTACCAATTCATTCTAAAAAAAAAATAATAATAAATAAATAAAATAAATTGTTTCCAGGTGCAGACTTTAACTTTATTGTTCTTGACGTAAAGGATGCATCACTGACCAAACAGATGAAAGTCCTCTCTTCTTGGATTTACTGAGCACCCACTATCTCCATGTACTTTGTTTGGATCTATTACTTCCATCATTATTTATCAGTGTTGTCAATACCATTTTCATGAGACAGGTATTAATTCTTTTATATACTACCTGTAATGAAACTGAGGCTCAAAAAAAGTTAAGTTGTTTAAAGCTACACAGCAAATAAATGAATTAAAATCCAGCTCTGACTATAGAATCATTAATCTTTTCATCTGCCCAGTGTCTCTCACATGTAATAGAAGCATCTACTCTGATGGTCCTTTCCCGTTTAGGCCAAGAGAGGTTGGGAGATGGTTATATTGTATTCTTTCTGTGTTAGGTTGGGTTCTCTAGAGAAGCCAAACCAGTAAAGCTTATATATATAGAGAGAGAAGGAGAAATTTATCTTAGGAAAATGGCTCACACACTTATAGAAGCTCGCAAGTCCCAAGTCCTTGAATCAAACGTCAAGCTGGAGGCTTTTCCCCACTCACACAGCTGCAGGGGCTGAGGAGCTCAAGGTTGGCAGTGTACTGACTGTTGACTCCAACGAATGATGAATCCAAGATCTTCAGGCCGAATGGTGGATTGTTCACTCATGGACTGTTGTAGGCAGCTCTACAAAATTGTGATCCACAGAAGAGTGTCTCTTTTCTCAAGATGTCTATAGATATACTGGAAGCAGGCCACACCCCTAGGGAAACTCCCTTTCAATGGATTGGCTGCTCAAAACATATACATCTGATCCCACTGTGGGAACAACCCACATCACAATTGCTTAAACCACACAGAATTGTTATCCAGCTAAATTGACACACAGGTCCAACTATCACAGTACACTCCTCTTAACCATATACAATCTCAAATAAGGACAATCATAAAGTCATATTTGAACCTAACATGATACGCTAACACACTTACAACCAAAACACATTAACCTTATTTATTATTTCAGTCCTTGTTTCTGCAACTGGTCCCGTGGTTGTAGCTGATATTCAGAACTACCTTCTTCCACCTCCCATTCTGTATTTCCCTTGCCCTCAGCAAGCATCTCAGCTGGTCGTGGTTCTTTGCCTGGTGGGGTAACCCAAACCTTCCTGAATGGTCTGGGCCTTTAGCAGTCATATCAGAATTGGGTTGCTATAATTTTCTATTGACTTTAATCACAGGGCATGGTAGTACTAAGAGACATCCTATAGAATCTCCTGTATTCCAGACATATTTGTCTTTACTTCCATTATGTAATGTCAATCCAATTTCCCCTTGGTAATCAGGATCTATCACCAGATACTACAGTAATGCCCTTCTTTGTCTGTTGATCCAGAGGCATGAGGAAGCCAAAATGGCAGGGTGGAATTCTTAATTTCCAGTTCAATGTAGTCAGTATTGTGTCTCCAGGTGGGAGTGTTTCTCCCTTTGGGACTTTAAGATCTCCAGACCCACAGAGCATAGGGTAGCAGGAACAGGAAGCAAAATTTTTTTGAGTGAGTCACTAGGGATAATAGTGAGTGGTACCACTCCTGTTTCCACCCCTTGGTTCCTGGACCCATGAATCTTGGCTATTGGAGAAACAGAACCATATATTGGATGCTGGTTTAGAGCATATACAGCCTCCTGGAGAACATTGCCCCAACCCTTCAAGGTATTGCCACGTAGCTGGTGCTGTAATTGTGTTTTCAGTAGGCCATTTCATCATTTTATCAAGCCAGCTGCTTCAGGATGATAGGGAGCATGGTAAGATCAGTGAATTCCATGAACATAGGCCCATTGCTGCACTTCATTTGCTGTGAAATGAGTCCCTTGATCTGAAGCAATGCTGTGTGGGATAAAATGATGGTGGATAAGGCATTCTGTAAGTCCATGGATGGTAGTTTTGGCAGAAGTATTGCATGCAGGGAAGGTGAATCCATATCCAGAATAAGTATCTATTCCAGTAAGAACAAAATCTGTCCTTTCCATGATGTAAGTGGTCCAATGTAATCAACCTGCCACCAGGTTGCTGGCTGATCATCCCAGGAATGGTTCTATATTGCGGACTCAGTGTTGGTCTCTATTGCTGGCAGATTGGGCACTCAGCAGTGGTGGTAGCCAAATCAGCCTTGGTAAGTGGGAGTCCATGTTTCTAAGCCCATGCATAACCTCCATCCTTGTCACCATGGCCACTTGGTTCATGAGCCCATTGAGCAATGATAGGAGTAGCTGGGGAAAAAGGATGACTGGTTTCCACTGAACATGTTATCCTGTCCACCTGAGTGTTAATATTCTCCTCTGCCAAGGTCACCTTTTGGTGGGCATTCCCATGAGACACAAATACCTTTACTCCTTCAGCCCAGTCAGAGAGATCTATCCACATACCTATTCCCCATACGTCCTTGTCACCAATTTTCCAATCATGCTCCTTCCAAGTCCCAGACCATCTGGCCAAGCCATTAGCCACAGCCCATGAATCTGTGTACAATCGTACATCTGACCATTTCTTGTCCATGCAAAGTGAACAGCTGTATGCACGGCTTGAAGTTCTGCCCATTGGAAGGATTTCCCTTCACCACTGTCCTTCAAGGAAGTCCCAGAAAGGGACTGCAGTGCCGCTGCTGTCCACTTTTGAGTGGTGCCTGCATATCATACAGAACCATCTGTAAACCAAGCACAACATTTCTCTTCCTCAGTCAACTGACCATAAGGAACTCCCCATGAGGCCATAGGTGCAGATTGGGAGAGGGAAGATAATGTGACTGGAGTGGGGACCATAGGCATTTGGGCCACTTCCTCATGCAACTTACTTGTGCCTTCAGGTCCTGCTCGAGCTCGATCTCTGATATACCACTTCCATTTAATGATGGAGTGCTGCTACGCACATCCAACTTTATGACTCTGTGGGTCAGACAACATCCAGTTCATGATGGGCAGCTCAGGCCTCATTGTGACTTGGTGGCCCATGGTTAGGCGTTCAGTCTCTACTAAAGCCCAGTAACAAGTTAAAAGTGTTTCTCAAAAGGAGAGTAGTTATCTGCAGAGGATGGCAGGGCTTTGCTCCAAAACCCCAAGGGTCTGCATTGCAATTCAACAATAGGAACCTGCCAAAGGCTCCAAATAGTATCTCTATCTACTACAGACACTTCAAGCACCATTGTATCAGCCAGATCATATGACCCAAGTGGCAGGGCAGCCTGCATTGCAGCCTGAAGCTGTTGCAGAGCCTTCTGTTGTTCTGGGCCCCACTCAAACTAGCAGCTTTCCAAATCACTTGATAAATAGGCTGCAACAACACACCCAAATGAGGGATATGATGCCTCCAAAATCCAGAGGCCCACTGGACGTTGTGCCTCCTTTTTAGTTGTGGGAGAAGCCAGATACAGTAAATTATCCTTTACTTTAGTAGGAATATCTTGACATGCCCCACACCATTGGACCCCTAGAAATTTCACTGAAGTGGAAAGTGCCTGAATTTTTGTTAGGTTAATTGCCCAACCTCTAGCATGCAGATGTCTCACCAATAAGTCTAGAGTCATCGATACTTCTTCTTTACTAGGTCCAATCAGCATAATGTCATCAATATAATGGACCAGTGTGATGTCTTGTGGAAGGGAAAGGCGATCAAGATCCCTACGGACTAAATTATGACATAGTGCTGGGGAGTTGACATACCCCTGAGGAAGCACTGTGAAAATAAACTGTTGGCCTTGCCAACTGAAGGCAAACTGCTTCTGATGGTCCTTTGAAATTGGTATTGAGAAAAAGGCATTGGCCAGATCAATAGCTGCATACCAAGTACCAGGAGGTGTATTAATTTGCTCAAGCAATGAAACCACATCAGGAACAGCAGCTGCAATTGGAGTCACCACTTGATTAAGTTTACAATAATCTGCTGTCATTCTCCGAGATCCATCTGTTTTTTGCACAGACCAAATAGGTGAATTAAATGGGGATGTGTTGGGAATCACCACCCCTGCATGCTTCAAGTCCTTGATGGTGGCAGTAATCTCTGCAATCCCTTTAGGGATGTGGTATTGCTTTTGGTTTACTATTTTTGCAGGTAGAGGAAGTTCTAATGGCTTCCACTTGGCTTTTCCTACCATAATAGCCCTTACTCCACATGTCAGGGAACCAATGTGGGAATTCTGCCAATTGCTCAGTATATCTATTCCAATTATTTATATATATGTATATGTACATGTGTGTGTGTGCATGTTTGTATATATATATATATATATAATTTTATTATTTTTCTTTTCTGTTCTAGAAGTACATTCTCCCCACTCACAAAACTACTGGACCCCGTCAATGGAGCAGGGAAAAAGGTCTGGTAGCCTACATTTTTATTTAATAAGGAAAGGATTCATGGTGAAAAAGCTTGATTATTTGAATTATTTCATCTTTTACAAATGTGGTAGCAGAATAATTGTCCCCTAGAAACTGTGCTATGTTACATTATATGGGAAAAGGGACTTTGCAGATGTGATTAAGTTTGTTGTTGTTATGTGCCATTGAGTCGGGTTTCTGAGACTGTATTACTATGGAAGTAGATTGCCTAACCTTCCTTCCAAGGAGTGGCTGGTGGGTCTGAAGCACCAGCCTTCTGGTTAGCAGTCAAGTGCTTTAGACAATATGCTACCAGAGCTCCTGTGATTAAGTTTATGAACCTTAAAATGGTGAGATTATCCTGGCTTGTCTGGGTAGGCCCAACTGAATCACATCGACCCTTAAAAACAGAAATTTCTCTGGCTGAAAGTAGAAGAGAAACGTAAGGGAAGAGATGGCAAGAGAGATAAGGTAGAAAGACTTGAAGCATGAGAAGAACTCAACAGAATGTCGCTGGCTTTGAATAAGTAGGGGGCCACCAGCCAGAGAATGGGGATGGCCACTAGAAGCAAGAACAAACTCTAGATGACAGTTGGCAAGGAAATGGGGCCTTAGTTCTGCAGCCCCATGAAACTGAATTCTACCAACAACCTGAAAGAGCTTGAAAGTGGATTTTCTCCATAGAGGCCCCAGTAAGGAACACAACACCTTGAAATTAGTCCAGGGAAACCAGTTGGCTTCTAAACCACAGAACCGTTATGTTATTTTAAGCTGCTAACTTTGTGCAAATTTGTTACAATAGCCACAGAAAGCTAATACAAATAGAAATGTAAAACTATCTGTACCTTTTTTTTTCTTTTAATTTTTTATTGTGATTTGCGTGAAATTTTACAGAGCAGATTTGTTCTCCATTCAACATTTCACACGTTTTCTTTCACAACACTGATTACAATCTCCACAATGTAAAAAAGCTCTCTTCCCACTTCCTGCCTGTGGTTACGCTTCCCCTGTGTCCTTCTTACCTAGCCTCACTATCTTTCTCCCTGTGCAAATGATGCGCAAGCCGTATTTCTTACTACTTTTTTCTGAATCATCTTTATTTCACTAGTGAATTTAAGAGAGAGTACAATTTTAAAATGAGAGAACTATTTTCAGCAATGTCAACATACAAGAATGAAACAAACAAAAACTTCCTTTAGTACAATCTAAAGATCCA